ATATAAACCACCAGGAAAACACTCTCCTTCCACAACTTCCCCTTGTCCAGATTCCTTTTATTCCCTGCACTGCAAACCAATCCTGAATCCCAATAATTTCCTCTGTTAATCTGGTTTTATACTTTATTTTTATTTGTTTTTCGTGCAGTAACTCCCTCCTCAGGACAAACCCCAGGAATTCTGCAACCTGCCTGATGCTGCAATATTTCCCTTCCCATTTTTCTGGGCAAATCCACAGGGATCATCCCACAGCGAGTCAGGCACCTGCCTGGGAGTCGTAATTTGTCTGCACAGCAGCTCAGGAGATGAAAGCAGAGCCACACAAAAGCTCAGCCTTGACTGATAGGAAATAATTGCAGGCAGAATTCCAGGAGAGGAATTTATGTAATTCTATTAAAGGCATTTGTAAAGGAAGAGAATGCAAAAAAAAAAAAAAAAAAAAAAAAACCACCTCAAATTTAAATAGAACGCACCCAGAATTGGATAAAATACAGGAATAATTGGCATTAAGCAAATAAAAGACATAAAAGGAAAACATGATAAAATTTTAATTATAAGAGAGGTAATTCCTCTCATCTTTTCCTATCACATTAAGCAGTTCATGTAGAATATTTAGCAGTTTATATGGAATATTTAGCAGCTTATATAGAATATTTAGCAATTGATATAGAGTATTTGGCTATTTATATGGCATATTTAGCTGTATATATAGAATATGTATTAGTTTTTCTAGAATAAACTAGATATTGCTAGAACTAAACTAGATATCTATCTCTAACTAGATATCTACATAAACTAGATATCTAGAATAAACTGGATAAATTGCTAGAATATTTGGCAATTTATGTAGAATATTCAGCAATTTATATAGATATTTAGCAGTTTACATAGAGTATTTTGCTATTTATATGGCATATTTAGCTGTATATATAGAATATGTACTAGTTTTTCTAGAATAAACTAGATATTACTAGAACTAAACTATCTCTAACTAGACATCTAAATAAACTAGATATCTAGAATAAACTGGATAAACTGCTAGAATATTTAGCAATTTATGTAGAATATTCAGAAATTTATATAGATATTTAGCAGTTTATATAGAGTATTTTGCTATTTATATGGCATATTTAGCTGTATATATAGAATACATACTAGTTTTTCTAGAATAAACTAGATATTGCTAGAACTAAACTATCTCTAACTAGATATCTAAATAAACTAGATATCTAGAATAAACTGGATAAATTACTAGAATATTTAGCAATTTATGTAGAATATTCAGAAATTTATATAGAATATTTAGCAATTTATATAGAATATTTAGCAACTTACATAGAATATTTAACAATTTATATAGAATATTTAGCAACTTACATAGAATATTTAGCAATTTATATAGAATATTTAGCAATCTATATGAAATTAGGAAGCCCCTGGAAGAGCTTACTCAGGAATACACACCAATGGAGCAGCAGGAGGGAAATTTTATGTCATCATCCCAAATCCATCCCAACTTGGAGGATTTCCTGAGTTTTCCAGCGCAGCCAAGCCCGAGGAGGAGGCAGAGAGCATCTGCAGCATCCCTTGGGAGAGATCCCCACTCTTAACTCCCTGCCCTGGCACCGCTGGCACCCCATAAATGGGAATATTGTGGATTCACAGGGAATCACTGGAGAAGGGGCTGAGCTGGGATCACGTAGGCACCACTGGGCCATGAACAAACAGCCATTTATACTGGATTTTTTCCCCCATTTTAACACGTGCCAAGGGATAAGACATGGGTTTATTGGGTGTACAGATGTCCAAAATAGATTTTTATGGGGTTAACAATACTTTATTGTTGGTGGGGAAGGAGTCCTGCCTCCAGACACACATTTCTCCTGTGAAGCCCAGGAAAATTTCCACAGCAGATTTATAAAAACTCAACCAGGGACAACAAAGTGGGCAGAGAAGAGCCCAAATAGAGGCCCTGATGGAAAATGATGTTTATTTCTAGGAACATATGGCCATGGAGGGATAAGGAGTCTGCTCCTCTCAGAGTAGGTCACACCACGCCACAAAAACCACAGAAAACTCACCAGGGGAGAAATGGGTCTAGGACAGGAAAAAAAAAAGAGGAGTTATTAATTTTGTAGGAAAAAAAGATGTCTTTCCAGCGAGTCTTGTTGCTCAATCTACCAAAAAAAAATAAAAAAATCACGGAATTCAAAATAGTTTTTAAAAAGTGGTGGTGTAATCATGGGTTTTATTTGTACTTTTTCTCTTTCTTCCCATTACACCACAAGAGAGATTGTCTGAGGTAAAAATCTCTCCAGAGTGGCAAAGAGCCACCAGAAATCCTACCTTGCCACCTCCTTTTGGAGCCAAGATCTCTTTCCAAAGGCAGATCCCAATCAGCGAGGCAGACACGGCACCTTTCACCCAGGGCCCGCCTCAGCCGCCCCAGGGCTGAAATAACAGTTTGTTTTCGAGCTAAATGAGTTCATTTTCACTAAATAGGTCTCCCTGAGTGAATTTCCTGGAGCCAGACCATCAGCAGCACCAGCAGACACTCCCAGCTCTCCTGAGCTCTCCTTGGATCACTTGACCCCAAGGATTCGCTCTGCCCATTCCATCACATCAATCTGACAGACATCAGGAGCAAAACGGGGCAGGAAAAGGAGAGGGGTCAGAACTTCCTGCCCTCAGGTCCTAAAAATCATCTTGAGGGATGTCCTGTGTTTATTTCAGTGCTCCTTAAACCCCTTTTTCATCCAGGCCGTGAGAAACTGGATTGATCGACAAATCGTGGGATGAAACTTGGGTTTCCATTGGAAAACCCCGAGCCTGCTGATGAGCAGGGCTGAAAGCAAATAATTTATTCAGTTTCCAAGCTGCTCTGTAACTTATCCTTCACTTTTACACCAGAGAGTGGCAGGAAATCAGCCTGGAGATCAGACACGCGAGCGCCCAATAATGGAAGCGGCGGATCGCTGACGCATAAATCAAGTTTTAGATTTACAGGGAACAAGCCTCCCACTGTAACACGGCCAGGAGGACTTTTCAGATGTTTTTATGTCAGCACTGGCCTAAAAAATAACCCAGTGGGGATGGGAAGGGTTGGATTCCCTCCCTGCTGGCACCTCCTGGGGCTGTAGGGAGGCAGAGGGGTTAGACCCAAGGGCAAGGCTGGTTAAACCCCATCCTTGGTGTTTGCATAATTGATGAGTGGATGTTGGGAATCATTTTAGCCCAGCAGTCCTAATGAGTTAAATCATTTTGGAAACCTCTGTCTCACCGAGGATTTGTTTTTGGCTCATCCCGCCGCCGAGGAAACGCGGATCTGGTGGAGGAACCTCATCCCCACCCCTCGTCCCTGGCAGGGCTGGACCCTGCAAGCTCAGCACTGACCACAACCAAGAAAAAATACCAAAATTTGTATTTTCCTGTGCTGCTTCCAGCGCTGGTTGCAGAGGGAACGGCACCACCGAGTTTCCACAGCAGGAAAATAACGCACAGCTCTGAAATCCGCGAGGCTGGAGCAATCCTGACCTCCTGACAGCACCAACGCCAGCCAAGTCCTCCTATCTCAGTGAAAAATGGCTTTTCCACAGCAATAAAAGTAGGGAAAAATCCAGCAGAAGTTGTTCTAAAGGTCACACCAGGGATTTCCAACACTTCCCCCTGGGATCTCTGTGGTTTACACCAATTCCCACAGAACAAGCTTTCTGAAGCAACAGAATAATTATTTTTTTAACATAAAAAATGCATTTATTGTGCCAATTCTGCCCCACTGGAAGTTCCCAATCCAGCAGCCCAGCAGCTGGTGTGGCCTGAAAATGAATCTTGAAGTGACTTTAAGAAACAAACCACAGCTTGGGCTCGTGACACTGGAAAAATCAACCAGTGTGGATTACAAATGATGGATATTGCTGAAGGGATTCCCACAGTTTGGGCAGGTTTTCTTACCTGCCCGTGCCCATTGACAAGCAAAAATTCCCAAAATACAGCACAAATTATGTGCATATGGAAAAAAAATTATCCAGCTCATATTTAATAATATAATTTAATAATTATTAAGACAGCGGTAATATTCCCTCCACTTAAGCAGGAAAGAGCACACACACTGGCTGCAACTGGAACCACAATTATTTATCTATGAAATTCATTTATTTTTTTATTTAATCTAATCCAAAACTAGACTGGATGGGGCTTGGAGCAACCAGGGGAAGGCGTCCCTTCCCACGGCAGGGATTGGAATGGGATGAGCTTTAAGATCCCTTCCAACCCAAAATATTCCATGATTGTTTAGAGAAAATATTCCATTATTTTTTAGTGTTTTTAATTAACAGGGAAGAAGAGCAGGAAGCTCTTTAGCAGCAGCAGCAGAGTGACTCTCTTTTACTCCCGACAAATACAATTATTCCCTTTGCTTTCATTCGGAAAACAACCTGTGAAGAGCCCCATTTCCATAAAGAGACTCTCAGGAAAATTAAAAAAAAAATTAAAAATAATGATAACCACACTGGCAGCCTGCTGCCAAACCCCAGAGCCCCGCTGGGGAGCGGGGCAGGACCAGCCTGGGAGTGCCTCCATCACCTCTGGGGAGCCAAAACCACCGGAGAAGCCTCTCTTTTGGGGGGCTGGGACCCCAAAAAACAGGGAGTTTGGGGGGACAATTGGGGTGGTTGGAAGGGAAGGGCGGGTTCCAAACACGGGGGGCTCCTGGAAAATCCCCCCGGGGCTCATCCCGGGGTTGGTTCTGCTGCTGGAGGGGAGCGAGGGGTCCCCAAATCCGGCTGGGAAGGGAAAATGGATATTTTTCCCTTTAACCCCGCACAGGCAAAGGTTTGTTTTGCTGAGCACGTGTCAACCCGAGCGACTTCTGGCCAAAAAAAAAAATCGCTTTTTTTTTTTTTCCGCTGTAACAATGGAAAAAACAAGAGGGAAAACAAGAGGGAAAACAAGAGGGAAAAGAAAGAAGGAATTTAGGGGGTTAAACAGACACAGGGACGTACCTTTGCCGCACGGATTTTCCAGGCGCTGGTTTAGGGATTTTCCATCGTTCCCTCGGCGGCCGGGGCAGCCCGGGAGCCGGGAATGCGGGATCCGGGAATGATGGAGCTGGGAATGATGGAGCTGGGAATGAGGGATCTGGGAATGATGGAGCTGGGAATGATGGAGCTGGGAATGATGGAGCCGGGAATGTTGGAGCCGCGAATGCTGGATCCAGGGATGCTGGAGCCGGGAATGCTGGATCCAGGGATGCTGGAGCCGGGAATGCTGGATCCAGGGATGCTGGAGCCGGGAATGTTGGATCCAGGGATGCTGGAGCCGGGAATGCTGGATCCAGGGATGCTGAATCCAGGGATGCAGGAGCAGGCTGGGCTCGCCGGCTCATGGAGCGGCAGTGCCCGCTCTGCTCGCCTGGCAAGGCGAGATTAGGATCTCCGGCGGGCAGGGAATTGTGCTGAGCTCCGGCTTTCCTTCGTGCTTCATTAAAAAAGAGATTTTATTCCGCGCTGGTGTGGACGCATCAAACAATCAGCGGGTTATCCTGCTCGGCTTTGTTCCAGAAAGGGAAAAAAAAAATAAAATAAAATCTATGTATAGCAAAGGACGAGCTCAAAAGCACAGGGAGTCAGCAGAGGAGGAGGAAAGGAATTCTGCGAGCACCATCCCAGAGTGAACCACAAACATCCCAGCCTGTGGGATTATTTATTCCCGTTTTCCTCTCTTGCCGGGAGCCCCGGGAAGCATCACCCGAGCAGAGCTCCGGGGCTGCGGGGCTTCATCCCCTGCCGCCTTCCCCAGAGCTTTGTTATCTCTGCCCCTCGCAGGTTTTCGGCACGTTAATGAGGTTTATCACAGCCAACTCACGTCTGTGTCCCGGCAGGCTGAGCTCAAAAATCCCCCACGTATTTCCAGCCCGTGACATCACATCTCAGCTCGGCTAAGTGGCTTTTAGATAACAGGCGGTGCCCCCTCCATTCCTGAGAATTCCGAGATAAAAACGCTGAAGAAGGGCAGTTTGCACACACACAGGCTGAGGTTTAACAGCACGACTTTAAGTGTATTGCGGGACATTAATTAGTCATGCAGAAAGTATTCAAAACAGAAAATATTCAAACCAGAAAATATTCAAAACAGAAAGTATTCAAACCAGAAAGTGTTCAAACCAGAAAGTATTCAAACCAGCCTAAGCACCAATTCATAAAAAAAGCATTACTATGAAATCAGCCCTGGCTGCCAGCTGAGAGCTGCTCAGAAAGGCAGGAACGCTCTTGGGAGAAGCTCCAGCTCCTCTCTCCCACTGCCATCCTCACTCCCAGCACACAAATCGGGGCCAGCACCGGTCTTTCCTGCTCCCTGCTGCTCCTGCTTCCTCTTCCAATGGTTTTGGGAAGAGCATCTCCAACATGGAACCTCCCACAGACAGGTTTGAGGCGTTCCTGACCTCTGGGTTTCGAGCGCTGCCACGCGCTCGCTCCTCTGCATAATGGCATTTGTCATCACACAATCCCAAAATATCCTGAGCTGGAAGGGATCCACAAGGAGCACCCAGTCCAACCCCTGGCCCTGCACAGGATACCCCAAAAATCCTTCCTGAGAGTGCTGTCCTGGAGCTCTGGCAGCCTCAGGCTTTGCCCATTCCTTGGGGAGCAATTCCCACAACTCTCTGGAGGAAAAACCTTTTCCTAAAATTCGCTCTGTTGACATAAACATTGATCATTCCCTGAAAAAGCTCAAAGTCTGGCTCAAATCTGGATTTAATCGCTTATTATTTACCTACACGGCATCTCAGAGATGTTCAGGTTTTCCTCTTAGGTTTACTAAGGTATAAATATTAATTTTAAAAATTCCTTAGGCTTTTGCATGGAAAATGCTGTGGAATTGAGCACCAAGTCAGGCTCAAGGACAGACCTCCTCTGACCACACTGTCCCAAAATTCAGATAGAAGCTGGAGGATGGAGGACATGAAAAAATTACTGAAATGAGGCAGAGAACAACAGGGAATGAATCGAAAGTTTTGGGAAAAGCTTTATGGGGATAAGGAACAATCTCAGTGAGGGCAGGGAAGGATCCCTGTCCTTGCCCTGCTGCAGGAGCAGGGCTGGGGTGGTTCTGGAGCAGGAACTGCTCAGGCAGGAGATTTAAAAGCCAGATCTGGATGTCAGGACTGAGTCAGGGCTGGGCGTGGAGGAGCAGAGCTCAGTGCTGAGCAGGCACTGGGATGGAGTGGGAAGGAACTGGGAATTCCATGTGGGAAAGAAGGAACAGCAGCCCCAGAGACAGGGCATTGTTTGGGCCAAGAATTCCAGAATCCAGACCAGTTTGGGTCAGAAGAGACCCTAAAGCTCATCCCGTTCCACTCCTGCCATGGCTGGGACACCTTCCACTGTCCCAGGCTGCTCCAACCTGAATTCCTCCCTAAAATCCAATTTAATCCCCCCTCTTTTAGTTAAAGGAAGCATCTCCCTGGATTTTATCAGGTGGCAGCTGTGGAAGTGGCTGAGGCACAGCAAATCTTCAGTGGTTCACTACAGAGGGCGGTGGCAGTTGACCTCATCCCAAAAATAGATGGGCAGGGAAAGAACTCTCCTGTCAGAGATTAGAAGAGTGGAACAGACCCTGAGCGTTGCTGACAGAGGGTGGACACCCTCCTGACTCAGCTCAAATCATCCATCTGACCAAAAACTCTCACCTGATACATGGGATTTAATAACACACCCTAATTATTTCCATATTTATCCCCAGGAATAGAACAGAACAATCTGTCTGCTGCTCTCAGAGCCTGTGAATCATCCCCACGAATCAATCAGAGCAAAATAAGGAGTTTTGTGAGAGGGAGCAGTGAGAAAGCATCAGGAACAGGAAAAGTTTGACAGAAATCAAGAAATCCCACCCCAAAATCAGGATTAACAAGTGCTGTAAATCTTGGGGAATGCTACAAAAGCCTCGTGGTCCTGCAGGGAGATTAAAAGGTCAAAATATCTCATTGAGAAGGTTCAGACCCAAAACCCTTACCTGATGCACGGGATTTAATAACACACCCTAATTATTTCCATATTTACCCCCAGGAATAGAACAGAACAATCTGTCTGCTGCCCTCAGAGCCTGTGAATCATCCCCACGAATCAAAACAACCAAAAGGAGCAGCCAGGCTCTGGGACAGCATCAGGAAGAGGAAAAATTTGATAAAAATCAAGAAATCCCGACCCAAAATCAGGATTAGAAGGGCTGCAAATTTTGGGGAATGCTACAAAAGCCTCGTGGTCCTGCAGGGAGATCAGGAGGTCCAAATGTCTCATTGAGAAGGGGTTTAGATGAATCAATTTATCCCATCAGGACCCACAGAGTGAACCCCTCCCTGCCTGTGTGTGCGTGCACAGGGAGATTTCAAACCTTTGTGGGAAACCCCATTGTGAAAAGGACTTGTAAAATCACGTCAGCCGTGGAATAAATTGTGAATCCTTTTAAGACTCCCATACAGAGGTGGGGATTAAAGGGAGTAATTGATGTCAAGCCTTAAAAAAAAACAAAAAGCTGGGTGATTCTTTGGGAAAGACATTTCTCTCTTCTCCCGAGGAGCAGCCACGTGCTGAGTCTGAGCCCTGATTTGGGGCATTTGGGGCAGCATTTACCTGAACAGCCCAGGAGGTGTTGGAAGCCTGGTGCTGAGAATTTTAGATTTCTGTGCTGCCAGGAGAACACTGCACTGACCTGAGGCCGTGGAGAAGGTTCCAAAATGGAATGGCAGAACTGGGATTGTGGGTGTGGAGTTTGGATAGAAATGTGAGATATCACAGGGGGGAAAACTCAAAGTTTAAGGGTTTAGAATATAGGAACATAAATAAAGCAAGGTGGAGGTTTTAGGGTGGAGGCTGATCCTTCTTTACCTTCTTGTTCTTCTTCTCCTTGTTCTTCTTCTCCTTCTCCTTCTCCTTCTCCTTCTCCTTCTCCTTCTCCTTCTCCTTCTCCTTCTCCTTCTCCTTCTCCTTCTCCTTCTCCTTCTCCTTCTCCTTCTTCTTCTCCTTCTCCTTCTCCTCCTTTCCATGGGTTTGGGTGGTTTTGTACAATTGGATTAAAAAGTCCACATTGCAGGCCACAGGTGGTTGGTTATTGGGTTAAAAGTGAAAATAATTCAGGTGTCATTTCTTAATTGGACAGTTTCTCCATAAAAAGCTTTGTAGAGAGAGAGACACAGCTCCGTTCTTAGTTTGTTAGAGTGGAGAGATGAAGAACTCAGGGTTCATGAGACTGTGACAGAGATAAAAACTAATAAACATCTGAGTCCCAACAAGAAATCCCATCACACACATTTAATCCTGACCTTGGCAGAAAAGAAATAAAGAATCCACAAGTAAGTCTCAAGTCAAGCCAAACTGGGAAATCCTGGAGCATCAAAATCCAGTTATTAACAGCAAATACGAACTCATCAATTTAAAAATATCACACAAAAGAATTAGTGCTCAGAGAGGGCAACTCCAGCCCTGCTGAGAACAAATCCTGGCGTTGTCCTGCTGCTGGGGGACATCTACTCCTTCAGGATGGGCTTGGAGGGCTGTGGCTCTGCCTTTGGGCACTCAGCAAAAATAGAATTTCATTTTCACCCCTCTCCAGACGCTCCCTCAGTGGCCAGGAATGAACCCCAGAGTCTGTCCCAAGAGCTGCAGCTCAGCCCTCGGCTTCTGGGCCAGCTCTCAATGGCTTTTATTCACTTCTAGCTCGGGCTGGCTCATGAATGCTCAGCTCAAAGCTGATTTTTTTAGTACCATCAGCTGCTGAAAATGATTCCTCAAATTCCCCATAAACACCGGGGAAAGAGCTAAATTGGGACTGTGATAATTTAATTTTCTGCTCACCAGACCTAGTCTAGTCTAGCACAAAGCTGGGCTTTATCTGTGTCTCAGATCAGTAATTCTGCTGTTGAGTATAACTTATAATTACTATTTATAGCTTTACACTATCAGCACCAAACAAAACACATCTGACTAAATGAAATTTTAATGTATCCTCATTTTAAAAAGCCTTCTGCCACTTTTAATCCCATTTAAACCTTTGCTGAAGCAAAGAGCACCCAGCATTTGGTGTTTCTGGAAAAGCAGTTTGGTTATTGCAGGTAATCCCTGAAGGGGGATTAATTTTTTATAAACCTTTGGATTTAGACCAAGATTTTGGAGCACAAAGCACCTTTGGGCTGGTAGAATTGGGGCTGGGTGTTGGAGCAGCCCTGAGGAGAAGGATTTGGTGGATAAGAGGGTGGATATGACCCAGCCCTATGTGCTAACTCAATCCCAGAAATCCCAGAGCTGTATCCTGAGATTTTCCAAATTATGACCCTCCAGGTGTCCCCTAATTCCTCCACACCTCAGTTCCTGAGGTGTTTGTGTGCTGACCCAGGGAGCATCACCAAGACCCAGAAATGCCACAAGAAAGAGCCCAAAATAGACATCAAAATATTAAAATTTACCTCCAAGAAACATTGTCAAAATATTAAAATTTACATCCAAGAAACGCCATCAAAATATTAAAATTTACATGCAAAATATTGAGTTCGAACACTTCGAGCTCAAAATTCGCCACCAAAATTCCACCAAATGAAGTTTTTTTTGGGAGAAGATTCCATGCCAACATGGAATGGAGATGAATCCCAAGCTTTAAGTGTTTTACAGGGAAATTGCAAATGTGGGGTTGAGGTTCCTGCATGCCCAAACGCTCCTGGGTTCCACCTGGAATTAGTGACATAATTAACAACATATAATAACCTTCAACAGATACTCACAGCCAGAAGGAGCAGTTTAAAGACCGAATTTTCCAGTCCTGCAGAAGGAATAAAAAGGAAAAATCCATGGTGTTGCTGGTGTCCAGCATTGTTGATTACTTTCCCAGTGGTAAAACTGGAAACATGTTATTAAATCCCAGCATTTTAGGAAAAACGGGATAAACTGGGAATTCTTGTCTCCCTCATTTCACTTCCTGCCTTAAGAATCATTTGAACAGTGGAAAAAATTAAATAATTATGAATTGTAATTCTGTCCATTTTAAAACCCCATCAGCAGAGCACCTCAAAAATAAAAGGAATTCAGCACATCCCTTAATTTTCCATCACAATTCCCA